ACAACGAATTTTGGGGCCTTCTTCACATTTCGAGCAGTACCGCTGCATAACGAAATGCCGAATGATAAAATCTCTACCCTCAGGTCACGGCGTGACTTCTCAAAAACACCATTATGGCATACGACACTTATACTGATTAGGTAAGGTGGTTAACCTCAAAACTAGTGCGAGCGATAAAAATGCGACAAAAGTTTGCGCGTAACTACACCGTGGCCCAGCGGTTCACCTCCGAGGAGAGCAGCTAGAAAAATTTGCTCACGAAGGATGGGCACTTTGTTTTCACAAGCGTCTGAAAATCGCAGAAGGAATGGGGAAAAAAGTCAGCTATGCTTTTATAGCGCCCCGGCACCTCCCACTTAACAAACATGGAAAAGGCTTTAATACAATCTTCAAGAATAAATCTAATGTGAGCGAAAAGACATTGGAATAAGTTCCAGGTATTAATCCATCTTTGCACTCCAAGTTTCATCATTCCTTACCTAATCATCACCGAAGTGCCTCTTATCTAGCGGACGGTAATGTTTCCCCAAGTGGTATAATCCTTCGACGAAACCGCTACCGCGCTGAAATTATCACCCTTTAGGCGACAATCGGACAAAAACGGGTGCTGATAAGGAAGCTACTGCTTCCACGATGATGCTGCTTCTGCTCGGACTTTTACCATTGATTTCAGCGTTCACCTGTCCACCAAATACCATCTATCATGCTGAAGTTTAACAGGTACCGGTTCAACTTATGACACTATATGAAAATGAAAATCAATTCAAAAACAATTACGCAGATGCTACAAGTTTTCTCCCGACGCCCTGCCCTTTCTATATGGCAGAGGAAGCTTGCCAAAGCCTCGGTGGACATCTCGTTTCTTTCCAGGAAGGCTTAGAAAACGCAATGGTTGCAGGTGGGTAGAATTTTACACTTTTGAGAGTGGGCGTAATGTTACTTGTTGGTACGTGCGCATGCTTACGAACGCAGCCGAAAATTAGAAAAAAAAACTTTGGAATCTAAGATTAACACAATATTATTTAGTTATTTCCAGGACACGTTTCCATATTTCTAGTTGGATAGGATCTACAGAATAAATACCATAAACATCCTAATAAAAGTCACCCATGAGACAAAAATGAATAGCGGGCGTGGTATTGAAGGGTGACGGTCCAGGCTTCAGGCAAGGTCATGAGGCCCCTCCGGTACGCCATTCAAGGAGTTAAGAGGTTAGAAATTTGGTGAACAGTACACTAACGATGATAAAGTTGCTCAAATAGGTCCGAATACTCGCAAGTACTGAACATCTTGGCAGAGATGCTCAACAACAGGACGCACTGGTTCCCTTCTGGATTGGTTGAACAATCACGGTGCGCATGTGGAGTTAGCGAATGCGAGTCATTCATGCTTCACAAACTGGACAGGATGGTCAGTGGATGAATTGACGATAGTCCCAGAATTATTATTACGTGGGTTTTCTTACAATCGCATACACGGCCGTATTTGTAATGTAGATACTTAAATCACACGGTCAAGTGTGGCGCAAAAACAATTTTTAGTGGATTTTTTTCTCGTGTAGGAACGCTGTCTAAGTATTGAAGTTTTAGGTTTTTGAGTGTTTGTGTTCTAGACTTTAACACGTTGGACCTTTTTTAGTGACAAGGGGGGGGGGGGATGGGCTCGAACAAATAAAGCTTTTGATTATTTTACCTTTTGAGTGTTATAGCGGTGTCTTAAGTAGTTCAATTGAAAGGAATCTTCCACGGACCATGGACCAGTGGGCGGGACCGGAAGTGGTTTTGCGACGAAATGCATGGTAGGTACGGATCCACGTTCATGGGAAGGTTTGAAGTGAATCCTGTTCACGTTCGTGCGTTCGACACGTGGATCCGTACCTACCATGCATTTCGTCACAAAAACTTCCGGTCCCGCCCACTGGTCCATGGTCCGTGGAAGATTCCTTTAACATTGAGAATCGTTGATGACGAAACATTACTATATCTTCAGGTAACAATCGTATTGCTGCGCACAATGCGAGGATAAACTTCTACCTGATGGACACTGCATGAAGCATGTTCTCAGTCTCGTGCATACGTGTGCGCCATCTCTACCATCGTTCCTGAAGTCACCTGCCCTCCATGTCCTACTGTAGGATGTCCTGCTCCCCCAGGCAAGTTGAACTACCCGAGTGTTCACTGGAAGCCTGGGAATACCGTCAGAATGGCGATCGCTACGATTCACTAGAATAAGTTTCCCGATTTACATTTTAATATCGAAAGGAAGGCTTGGAACTTCGTGGAACGGAGGACGCATACTGATGTTTTCAGGCCACCAGGTCTCGCTGTCAGTCAGGTTGGACCTATTTCGCAAAGACGAACTCATGTTACAAGGTAATCCTCAACTAATTTCATGCCTGGGAATGCAAAGGTTAAATGTGCTCCGGTTACAATCATCAAAAATTAGATCTCATACGCTCCTTAACTTACTATATCTGGTGCTGTGCACACAGGCAAACGTACGGAACCAAGGTGGTGATCAATGGCCAACATCCACATGGCCTTACCTCGGACTTAAAGGCAAGAAACGGGATTGAATTGATGGGTTGATCCCGCGCAAAGTGTGAAGGTAGGGATGGGAGAGATGGACCGCCATGGAGAAAGAAAGGAAAGAAAATCTTGAAATACACAGGAATACGAGCATTTTGCTCTATGCTGTGGAGAAGTTCAAAAGGCAGGCAGGGAGATGAGAGATAATGTGAGCGCGGAGAGCGGTAGAGAAGTCCGAGAAGAGAGAGCATAGCAGATCAACGCAGCGACGCAGACAAGATATCGAACGGTGGGCGGACCATGTTAAGTTTGGTGGAGTCTGTTAGAAGTCCATGGCGTTAGTGACGCATTTCGATATAGAAAGTGTCGTAGACTTGCATGGACGGACTCAGCCAATTTTTTTCAAAAAGCCCCCGATGTAAGGCTTGATTAGGAATGGGTATCTGAGCACGAACTTTGCCTTTAAATGAATTAAGCTTGTCAACGAATCGAGAAGCCGTTGTGCGCAACAAGTCACATGTATATCTTTCAGTATTTCCTGTGGGCAAGTTTCGAGAATGCTGAGAATATTTGCAAAGCAAATGGTGGCCACCTAGCTTCCATTCACAGTCTCGAGGAGAACAACTTCGTAGCGAGTAAGTCATCCGAAATGCACGTTCCAAAACCTAGAAGGCTGAGTATTTTTGTGTTAGCCGCTCGCCAGTGAGCACGCCTAATGTCCACTTTTTGAGTTCAACTTCTGCTCTCTAGCATCCTTGAATTACATAAAAATCCAACTGAACCCCCTCCCCCCCAAGGCGTTTTTCACGGCCAAATACTTAAGCGGTAGTAAAAGAACTAGATTGAAGACTTATTTTTTTGTGAAGCGAATATTATATGAGAAGAGACACAGCGTGTTGATGAGAGAGAACAGACGAGGGAGCGGAGTGACGAGCGAGACGCAGATAAGCGTTGTGTCGATGTTGTGGACTAGCCAGAAGGCAAGGTCCAAGCGCACCTCCAAACTGTGCAGCCTTTGCGCTTGTAGACTTGTATGCGCATCTCACAACATTGGTCCGTCCGGCTTCTTCAAATGAGTGGCCTAGAAACCTATGAAATGCAAAAGCTGGGTTGCTCCAAAGTGCTCACTGCGCAGTAATAGTCAATCTATTTAGCGATGGGGATGTCAGGCATCACATACACTAACGATGCTGATTTGACGTGGATTGGCTTGAAGCAAGCAACTTATCCGACTAGCAAAGATTGGTCGTGGACAGACGGCAGCCCAGTCGACTTCATGTTCTGGGGTCCCGGACAACCTGATGACGCAGGAGGATCTGAGCACTGTGTTGAGGTATAGTATTTAGAATCCAGTATGCGTTTTCTTAGGCGTTTCTGCTTGAAATACGAGAAGTTAGGGACTTCATATGCTATCAGGATCTATAATATATTGCTAATCCGTTTCAGGTCTTCAGTGACCACACCGGTAAAGACCCTGCCAAAGACGGAAACTACCAACGATGGAACGACATGCCATGCGCCACAAATATGAGATCCTATGTTTGCAAAAAAGCATCAATGAATGAATATGGATGTGGGAGGGCCTCTTCGTAGGATTAATAAACGTTTCCTCTACTAGATCGAATAAATCACAACTGGTTTGAAATTGTTGCACTGATAAAGCAAGTATCCTATTTAAAGAGGTGTTTCATCGCTAAATGAATACAGAATCGGTTTTGATCCATGTCACATGTGCGGAAATCCGCCGCCAAGTACTTCGTCGCGCGCGGCGATTTTCGGTACAAATGACACACACCACTGCGGGTGCTTACCTATGATAAACCAGCTATCCGTTAATCGTTTATCTGCAGGAAATCCGAATCAAAAACTTGTGCCAATCTGTTCCTTGTTCTATATCAACACCTGGGTTATGTTTCTCCTATCTAACACAGATTTTCACCTCACCTGCTTTTTTGCGTTCGTTTTGTCGCTGGAAAGTTTCCAAATAGTCGAAAGAAAAGCGGGAGGCGGCTCTGTGAGTGGTGCCAAGCAGATACCATCACTTCAAATGTTT